TTTTAAATCAGGCGGGTTGGCTCAGATTGGTCAAGGCACTGCCCTGAGGAATGAACCAGAAAATGGAGAGTTAACTGTTAATCATCATTACTGGCACAATATTTATGGGAGTGCTTCTATTAATCAGAATCTATTTGCCAAAAGAGACAAAAACACTTGAACAAAATGTCTCTTTTTCTCAGCAAAAATGATTGAAAGAACATCTCAGTATTGTATTGATTGAGCGAAACGTGTCCAGAGACTCAAGAGACAACTGTGCCTGACTAGAGGCTTGGCCACACGTGCCTGAACATTATGGCACTGAACTCTGGAACATTCTAATCTTCATCCCACTGCTGTCAAAATTAAACCATCATTTTTTTCTTCAGAAAGCCAATAACTGCAGAGAAACCTGTTTTGTTTTCTCTCTTTTCCCAAAGTGGGTGTGCGCGCTTATCTGTTTTGGAAATATTTAGAGGGATAAGCATTTATATTTTGTGTGCATGTTGACCAAATATGGTATCTTCAGTGAATAAGGTTTGTTTTGATAATAAACTAATCACTGTGTAGATCTTGCTGTTTAAAACCTGACATAGATTTTTCATTGGTCATCTCAGCAATAGGAGTAAGTATTTTCTATTGTATGTTTTGACCCACAGAGTCGTGAGACTAGTGCACCCCTCTAGTTTTGGTTGGAACAATTCCTCGTTTAATTATTTCATTACACAAGCTGACAACATTTTACTTTGAAATACTGTAGTGCAACCAAATAGATTAATTAAACATAGTAGATACCGAACATGAATTCCAACTTAACATCTTGCATGTAGTTAGTTACTGTACCTACCTGATGGATAAAACCTAAAACATGATAGGAAGAGAGATGTATCCCAATGGAATCTGTACATGGATAAGACAACTTGTAGTAGTACAATCTATCAAGTTAGTTAAGAGAATTACACTCTTATTGGAACTATACAAATACTTTGCAGCTTGTCCAACTATGAATGCATGGACTTGGGCCTTGTAAAAATGAAAAGTGAATTTTAGAATCAACCTGAAGCTGTATACAAACTGTCCAATCTGTCAAAGAATTGGGATGTTGGGATGCAGTAACAAGGAATGAAATGAACTGCAAGAAAAATATAAGCACATAAATTCAACACAAAACCAAGTATTCTGACAATTTAACATAGATTGTGATAAATGTGAGGTTTTCTTAGTTTATAGTTTGTTTGATGCAGTTTCACCCTCGTCATTCCCACTATTTTGCTCAAATGTATTTGGTTTTGTATCGTTCTGCATGTATGGGAGGGAGTGAGAGTTAGGGGAAGGGAGGGTGGAGGAGGGGGGTTATTTTATTCTCATATACAACACTGTTCAATACATTAGACCCTAGTCAGATATAACTTTGGGAGACCAAATGTAGTTGAACTCAACTTAGATGCTCATTATAGACAGCTAGTGAGCAGTTAATATTAACTTACACGTGTTTGCTTTAATTTTTCGATGGTTAATGGAAAAATGGTAGATCTGAAAAGCAGAGAGTATGAGCGTTTTTTGATCACTGTGCATGCTTCTTTCGTTGGTCAGTAATGCAGTACTTCAGCAGCATGGAAACACCACTAACATTGTCGAAAGAGGGTACCAGCTTCAATAATCAGAACAGCTGCTCCAGACAAGGAACAGAAAACAAAGGCACTAACAACATAGCCAACAAATCATTTCTGACAAAGGATAAGCAACATCTATCCAGGCCTGGGTGACAAGAAGCAGCAGGTCTCATTGTGCAGGCAACATTCTGAGCAATCAACCTGACACAAATCAAAGTACCACTCGCCATAGTTGAATGTAAACCTGGACGCTGCACCAAGATATGCTAACCCTGAGAAATTCATTGTAGAGGTTCAAACTTTGACAAAAGAGAAAGACTGCAATGCCTTCCACTGAATAGTGGTTGATGTTTGGGCAATACATTTACCTGTATGGTATCTGAAATATTTTCTAGTCAACCTATTCAAAGATGTCATTGTACATTTCTGGAGCAGACAGAACTTGAACTCCGGCCTCCTGGCTCAGAGGTAGGCACATTACCATTGCACCACAAGACTACATCTTCTGTCTGCTATATTCTACTAAAATTAATGCACATAATTAACATGGGGTTATTGTCACACTTATGGCTTGGCAGGCATTTCTATTTCTGGCCTATTGGTACATTGTTAAAGTAATTGATCAAATTTTACTAAACTGAGGAGAAATTTCCAAGCATTTATTAGCAGTGTTTTTTAGATAAACTTAGTTGTTGACAATTACCCAGTAGCTCCGATATCTGATTTGTATTTACAGAAGTAGGCCATTCAGCTCTTTAGGTTCAGGGTTATACTCCACACTAGCCATCTTGCAGCTATCTTTTGGACAAAACTCTGAACATATCCTTTGATTTCTAATCACCCTCATCTATGCTTCTCTTCAATACATTGCTTAAATGGACAGAGATCGGAACAAAAAGCTTTCACCTTAATTTATCAAAATTTGGTTTGCAATTTAAATATTCATAAATAATTCTACTATATAATCCAATACACCGGGGTGGCACAGTGACACAGTACTCAGCACTGCTGCCTCACAGCGCTAAAACCTCAGGTCCGATTGCAGCCTTGGGTGACTGTGCAAATTTTGCACATTCTCCTAGTGTCTGCCTGGGTTTCTTCAAAGGGTCTTCAGAGGGTCATGGAATTGAAACTCAATTGTCCCAAAATGGCCTCCGTCTGCACAGTAGGGATGCTATGATTCTATAATTCTACATCTTTTCCTGCCCATTTTGAGAGCTAAATCTAAAACTGCTTCTGGATCAAAATATTGTTTTTTTTCCCCAAAAGGCAACATTGACACCATAAATGAGTTTCAAGGTAAGTTTCAAAGCCAGTTCCATTAAAATTCAACTTGTGGCTTACTTTGCAGGACAGATTCTCTTGCTAATTATTACATTTCACCATTCCCCCAGTGATGGTATATACCTAACAACAAGCTAGAAGCTATAAAACAGATCTAGAGAATAGGCTGACCTCAATGAAGTTATTCATGGCTGGCGTTCATGTCATATGAAAAGAACTTCAGTACATCCCAGCTACCAAAACCACTTTTCATCCCATTTTGAAATGGTATTATGGTATGAAGATCCCCTGACAGTCTGGTAAAGTAGTTCCAGTGGTTGAATCCTGTAACCCCAAACCACAAGGGTCACAAATTTCAATGCCAGCATTCATTTACATTTGAACCTGCTTGTATGAATTTGGTTTGCTTTCAGCATAACAGAATCCCAAATACAATTTCGAATGGAAAGAAATTTCTACTTGGGAGGTTGACTGAATTTCTTTTCCTTGAGGAAATGCCTAGAAAGGAACAGAAATATCAATGAAACAGTCAATGTTTGATTTTTCTAACATCTTGGTTAATATAGGTGCTTTGATTACCTTTCTGGTAAGGAAGATGGGCAATTAAAACTGAAGTTAGTTTCAAGTTAAACAAACCAGTAGCTGCCAACTGTAGATCAATGGAGGCATAACAACAACCTGATGAATACCTACATTTGTGTAAAATAATAAAGTTTCTCAGGGATAGAATTCAACAGATACATAAGTTTATAAGTATAGTATTTTTTCCTAAAAGCTAAAGCATGCGAGGTATTTTGTGTAGTCCTTGCAATTATCACGGTGTCTTTCTTTTAAAAAAAATGATTAC